TATATGGCACCCAGGGGACCAGATGGTGGGGGTTAAGACTGAGTCTTGCTCTTGGGCCCAGAGTGGAGCAAATGACAGGTGTGGGTGTTTCACCTTTCCTGCTGTTGAAGAAAACAGGAGCCACATTTTGATGTTGTCGGTGCGGGGAGTTGAACCATTGACCTTCTGATCACAGAACCACTTTCTCTAACCTCTGCATCACCACTCCCCAAGTTATATGTACATATATTTTATTATCTCACTGGGGATTTTGTTTTGCATTCGGGTTTTCGCAAGAAAAAGTCAAATCTTTTTGGCATAATTACCATTTCAGGAAAAAGAAGATGTTTTGCACAACCCCACCCACTGCGTCACACACTAAAAAATATTTATCAACTCTGAAGACGTTTAACATTTTGATTGAAGTGGGAATAAATTGTCTTTTAAGAATGGTCTGCATTTAGGGGCGCTTTACTTTCTTCTCAATGGCAAAACCTTTTTTTTTCTGAAAAAAGGAGCTTTAATGTGTCAGATAACACTTGTTGTGCCTGTCTGCACGCAGACTGTTCATTAATGCCATGCAGGGTGTGATCATCAGTTTTCCCCTTCAACTTAATGGCACACTGCATCACGCTTTGCTTTTCTGATAGTTTGGGACATGTTACAATATTACCTGGCAATGCATCTTTAGAAGGTTCTCATTTTATTTTGAAAATAATTTTAATGCTCTTTGTTATTTATTTAAAAAGTCATGTTTGTTGAGTTGAGATCAGTTTGCTGCCAATAACTAATATAATATATATTTGAACTCCAGTGTTCAGGGAGCCCTACACAGTCCGTGTGGCCGACCAGCGCTCCATGCGGGGCAACGTTGCCGTGTTCAAGTGCCTCATCCCTTCAGCTGTCCAGGAGTACGTCAGCGTGGTGTCCTGGGAGAAAGACACCGTTTCCATCGTCCCTGGTAGGACATTTAAACACGGTCAAACCCAATTATCAGATAGATGTGTGATTGCTTGATGACGACACATAAACACATTACCATGCGCTCATAAATTCACTTGATTGCTAATAATAGACAGCAGATAGTGTGATATGAAGAAATCCAACTGTCCTTCAAATTATATTCCTTCTTGTTTGCTTTTTGTGTTTACTGACAGCCCTTAATCCTTACGAAGCTATTCTGGTGTTTTGCTTCTGTTGTTGCCAAAGAGAAAAGGAGGAAACAATTTGGTGAATAGTCCTCCAAAAAAACCCCAAAAAACCTTGAATAGGTCTGATGTCAATGTTGTTGATAGTTTTGTTACAGACACCAAAAGCAGATTTTGTTTGAGTTTGTGTAACTTTCAGGAAAAGAAAGCCAGTGGTGCGCGTGTGTTGATAGAAAAGACAAATTATTCTGTGTCCAGTTTGACGAGAGATAAATTAGTAGTTGCTCCTTTTTATCTGCCAAATGCTGTGCACTCGCACCTGAGAGTGTGTGTGTGTGTGTGTGTGTGTGTGTGCATGGCGAGGTGTCAGCATCCGCTCCATGAAGAAATGGCAAATTGCAGGATGTCAGACTGTTTAGGTCAGATGATACGTTTTGCTCTCTTCCCCTTATCTTGCTCTCTGTTCCAGAGCACTTGTTTCATCTCTCAGTAGTGTGAACGTCTGTCTGTATAAAGGTGTGTGAGCGCTTGTACGCCACTTTGTACGGCTCTGTCCTTCACAAAGGAGCACTCATTGATCCAGCACAACAGTCTGTGTGTGTGTGCTTGTGTAGGTGTGTGTGTGTGTGTGTATGTGACCTGAGTGGGGTTTCCAGTCTGGATCGATAAAGCTTGTTGTTGGATTCCCCTCTCTCTTGTCATGGATCCCTCAGTGAGAGTTGTGAAAGTCTGTTTGACTCATAGCTCGGTCTGTGTGTGTGTGTGTGTGTGTGTGTGTGTGTCTATAAGAGAGAAAGAGAACGTTTGTTAAAGCCAGTGTATCATGGTTGTGTGCTGAGAGCTCAGTGGGAGTATGTTATTGATCATTTGGTAAAACATGCACATATAAACAAGTGTGTGAATACTCACACACATAAATGCATAAATGCAGCACACTTTTCTAAATAAGCAAACACTAAACCATACATGCTTACAATATTATTTGTTTACACAAAAATATCTCTAATGCACTTTTCCTTAAAGCGGTCAAATATTTTTAATGTTTTTTTTTTTTTCAACAAATTGTACAATATAAATGAGTGAAATTATCAAATTAATGTAATACTGTATTTTAGCCAAAACAATTATGCAGCATAAAAACTGGTCGTGATCAACAGTGAGCAGTGAAATAGTTTAGATTTTTTGAAATGAGGTTCTATGAAAAAGTTACGAACAAATATCTCACCTGTTATAGTTTGTTAATTACTTTGATTTTATGACATCAATTCACTTTAAACTTGGTCTCACTTCTTTTAGACATTAGTCTGTCAGTCTGGACTGAATAAAACCACATTTTCTATTTAAAAAATAGCATTTTATTAATTCACAAGTATTACTTCACATTTATATAATAGTAATAATAAACCTTTACTGTGTAAAAGAAAACTCTGACAGTTGGTTTGTGGTAAAAAAAAAGAAAAAGTGTAATACTGTTCACTGGTGATTGTCTTTTTGTATCGTGTAACAAAAAAATACAAGAAGAAAATTTAATTAAATTGAGTTGAATTGATAAATAACAGGTTGTTTCATCATGGAAAATAAATTTTGGATTGAAAATTCAAATAAGGTGCTTTATTTTGTGGCTTTGGTAGGGCGGGTCATTTTTGACCTGTAGGACAAGGGGGGTAAACAGAATGTTAAGATCACACAAGCATTAAATACACGTTCGATACTTAGACTGTTTAATTTATTACAATGACATTTACTGAAACAAATCCTGCTTTTCATTCTGGATGGTTTTGTTAAAAACACAAATACATATTTTCAGTCAGCCTGGCTTTTTGAAACTCTTTTCAGCTCAACCATCTTGTGCAAAATGATTGTTTCTCCTTCCAAATAAACATAACTTCAGCCAAATCCTGAACTCCAGTTCATAACATGAGATTTCAAATACCAGTAACTGACATTATAGTAGCCACCTCCATATTACACTTAAATTGACTGGAAATTACTATTATGCACCTAATGCTTTTAAGCAAAAACATGGCATCAAAATTTCCATCCATCATCTTTACACTCTTCTTCCTTTTCGGGTCACAAGGGTCACTGGTGCCCATGATGTCCATGATGTCCAAAAATCACTGGGCGAGGCAAACGAGACAAACAACCATTCTCTCTCTCACTCACACCGAGGGACAATTTAGAGTTACCAATCAGACTAACATGCATGTTTTTGGTCTGTGGGAGGAAACAGGAGCACCTGGAGAAAACCCACACATGCTAGATTTGCGTTCGGGTCCAAAAAAATCCAGCCCGACCCAGCCCAAGCCCGTAGCCATCATTTCCAAACCCCACTCTAACTGACAAATTAACAGTAATTACAGGTCCAAACCTGCCCCCACCCCCAACATTTTAAATTAAGTTTTGACTGCTTATATAATTATTAACAGACGGCAGATGTACGCAGCTGAATCAAAGGGGCAGAAGATCGGAGCCGAGGGGGTGTTTGTTCTTTCATGGCTGTCAAAGTGCATTAAATCCCTGCTTCTGCCTGCATTCTGCATTATTCAGACACAGACCCTGCTCTGACATGTCTGCTCTGGGATCTCACCTGGCCGCGCGTGTCCAATGAGTGCAGCGGCTGAATGAATGTCCATTAGGACGATGGATCACTTCCTGGCAGTACAGTTCCATCTGAAGCTTAACTGAATTTTATTTTACCTCTTTCAAGGCCGGTCAGCTCGCGGAGAAATGGCCGCGTGCGGCTGGTGAAGGTATGACAAGCCATGTTGTCATATATTTGGATGTATGTCAAGCCATGTTTCCATATAATTGGAAGTATGGCAAGCCATGTTGCCATATAATTGGAAAATATGGCAAGTCATATGGTCATATAATTGGATCGCTATCCGCATCCGCTGATGCAATCGAAAGCCCGACACCAACCTGGCTCACCCGTCCAGCACATTATTACAGCATGGCCCGGTCCACATTTGGGTCGGGCCGGACTTCAGACCCAGGTTAGAAATGACAGCTTTAACACATGCACGGGGAGAACATGCAAACTCCACCAATAAAAGTCCCAGGCTGGGATTTGAACAAGTGACCTTCTTGTTGAGAAACCCAGTGTGGGGGAGAGAGTGAGCACTTGGGAGGTTTTTAATTAAAAACAAACAAACAAAGAATAAATTGGAAATTATAGCATTTACCCATTTAAAATATTTTGGTCCTCTAAAATATCACAAGAGACAAAGTCATGATTAGATTGTTCATCATGTACAATCAACTGTCGCTCTGTGCTTTGTAAAATCAGCTCTATCAACTGAGCCACCTTCAACTATCTACTGAGCCACCACTGAGCACAGCGTCAAAAGTTCTATAAATAAATTTATAAGCACCAATTCTCTTAAAACCAATGAGATTTTTTTTTCGCTGTAATGTTGAAGGTGGGCAGCACGGTGACGCCACTGGTAGAGCTGCTGCCTCTCAGCGAGCAGGTCCCGGGTTCAAACCCTGGTTCGGGAGCCTTTCTGGGTGGAGTTGGCATGTTCTCTCCATAAATAGTAAATGGACTGTACTTGTAAAACGCCTTTCTATCTTATTTCAAGATACTCAAAGCGCTTTACACTACAATCTGTGTCCTCATTTACCCATTCATACAACACTCTGCTAGATCTCTACAAAGCTAATTGGACAAATCATTCTAAAGACACTAATCAGTGCTTTTTAGATCACATTCATACACTGATGGGACACACATCAGAGGCTGTGAGGGGTTCAGCCTCTTGCCCAGGGACACTTCAATGAAAAACTGCTGGTGGATTCGAACCCCCAACTCTCGCATTGGAGGACGACTGCTCTAACCACTCCGCCACAGCCGCCCCGTGCATGCGTGGGTTGTCTCCGGGTACTCAGGTTTCCTCCCGCAGATCAAAAGCATGAATGTTAGGCTGATTGGTAAGTCTAAATTTTCCCTAGGTGTGAGTGAGAGTGTGAATGGTTGTTTGTCTCTATGTGTCCCTGTGATGGACTTGCGACCTGTCCAGGGTGTACCCCGCCCCTTGCACAGTGATTGCTGGACATGGGCACCGGTGACCCCCGTGACCCAAAATGGAAGAAGCGGGTAAAAGATAATGGATGGATGGATGTTGAAGGTGGTAAAGGTTAAATGTCATCTAACAGCTTCATGTAGTTGATAGTTTGGGATTAAACCAGTAGAGAGCAATATATATTTTTAAATCTCCATTAACTTTTGCTTCTGCATCAAACAACAAAATTTGTGGAGGTATTTCCAACAAACTTATTTTAGGGGGTCAAAAACAATGTTTGTACAAGATACGCACATAAAAACTCAAAGTATCATCTCTGATTTAATCAGAAAAAAGCTGTCTGACAATAAAAACCCAAATCCTGTGCTGTCTAAATTTGTGTTTGAAGAGGTTGACGTTTTTCTTTTCTCCCACACTCTGTCTCTCTCCACAGCTGATGAATGGGTTTTATTAGTGACACAGTGCTCCTCTTCTTTTCATCCATCTTTGGCTCAAAGGCTCTTCTCATCTCTTTCCCTCCCTGGTACAGACTGGTGGCCTGTGTTAGCATGTAAACACACACAAACCCCTTTCATCCATGCATCCATCCATCCATCCAACCATCTTCTGATGGTATAAGCAACTTTCAATCTTTTAACAGCACTTGTGCTGCTCCAGTGCGTTGCCATTTATTAGGGATACTGTATGATAGGTACTGGCTTGACAGGATGACATATGTCACCCAGACGGCTGTGTTGGTCAATAGAGCAGAGTTTGAATGGGCTTTGATGAAGAGGGAGGAGTGT